TGACCGGTTGGGGTCGCGGCATTAAAAAGGTTGAGAACCACTGTCCTAAACGATGTGGACGACGTACTGCAGAAGCTTATCCTCTGTCTCTTCAGTTTGATGGTCATACGTCTGCGCACAGCTCGAAGTATGAAAGGGGGGATTATGTTGACCCGGACTTAGGGGACAGTAGCAATTGTGAATATGTGCAGATGGCCCCGCTCTCTCTGGCTGCTTGCAGAACCATGAATGCCAGACCATGAAAAGACAGCAAAGGAAACACCCAATATTCTAACTCACCCGGGAACATATGGTACCTTGGGGAAAACACCCAAACCACCCAAAAGGGAACATATTAGCTACTTCTGCTTTCTTCCTTCTTATCTACAGTGTGCCAGCCTTAAAGGGCGAAGTCTTTATCTTATGTGTGTCAGCTTTGCTAGGTGAATTGCTTATGTAATCAAAGTAGGTATAAAAATAAGGCTTTTTCGGTATTTGGGGCTTTTCTCTTTTTAGAGAAGCCCGTCTTTGTTCAGCTGAATAAACACGTAACTCTTGACGGCAACTTCTGGTTTCCTGTATTTTTTATCAAGCAAAACCTCAGAACCTGCATATCATTTTGAGTGTGCCAGTACACTGTACTAATTGGTGAATGGGCAAAAAAAAAAATGTTCGCTTTCAAAGTTGTGTTTGGTTAGAGGTACTGGCTAGCTAGCTAGAACAGTGTGAATATTTTGGAGTAAATGACTTTGCATATGTGATACATTAACTAGATGTGTCAAATTGATGAGTGTGGTGCTCTTACCATTAGCAGGGAATGGTGCATTGGTATGTTTAAACCTGGGAATCTAGTTTGCTTTATCTATCTTAGTAAAAAGTTTTACAAGTAGACCTTGATCTACAACCCTTCGTTCAGCAACTGTTCCATAATTTTTAAAAGTGGGAAGGTCCTGAGAGTGAAATGTTTAAGAAATACTGATTTAGAAAATGTAGGATAAAGCAAAGAGGCTTGAATTTGATTGCTGAGTGTGATAAGTGTTTATATGATGGAAGTAAAGTGTGTTTGAAAATGAAGGAAACAGCAAATGGTTTGATCCTGAGCAGGCAAAAAAAACAAGGATGTATGATGGTCCCTTGGGTATTTATCAGTTAAGTTTAAGAAAACCTTATGATGTTAGAACTGTGCTGGTTGGGAACATGATACATGAATGCAAATAGTGCCATGTGTTGACTGAGAAGCTGAATGATTTACAGCCCATTTGAGACAGAGTGTGTGATGCATAAGAAGCGCAGATTTGAAAATTAATGGAAGATAGTTGTGCTTGACAGCAAAAACAGAGTGAGTCATTGCAAGCTATACACAAATTATAAACAATAGAACAAAACGAAGATCCATTAGAGAAGTGAAGTTTAGAAAAAAAAACAGGAGGCAGAGTACAGTGTTGCTTATGGCTTGGATGGAAGCAAAGGTGGTTTGCAAGATAAAAAGTAGGGGCGTAGTGAATGGCAATATAAACCAGTTTTAGCTGTAGCCCCTTTTATTATCTTAAGCCGTTACTTTCTTTGACTTACTGTTGCTTATTCCTTTCCTTCACTCTGCCTAACATTGCTTATTTGTATGGGAATAGCCCAAGGACTATTTATGTAACTGCATTTATTTGAGAAATACTCATAGGAAGAAATATTTGTAAGATATACCCAGTAATATGTTAGAACTCTGATGTAACCAGTTTACCTAGACTTTGAAATAGAAATGTCTGACAAAACAGTATTTGGAATTATCTGAAACAATCTACTAATCCGAGGGCAGATATTCTAAACACGAAGAGGCCAGAAAACAGAGGGGAAATTTCAAAGAATTTTACTATGCTGTCGTACCGGTGTTCTGAAAAATCTAATTCCTGACCCTTGAATTGTGAGTGTTCAAAATCAGAGACTTCTTGTTATCTCATATTTCATCCCATTTCTTGGCACCCAAATGCCAAAATGGCCTTACACGTGCAATGATGTGGTCCTGCAAATGCTGCATTTAGATCAGAGGTCGCCAACCCTTGGGGCACCAGGGACCATTCCATGGAGAGAGGTTTTTCCACGGACTGGAGGGGGTGTGGTTTTGTGTGCTGCCTGCATCTTGTGGATGGGCTTTGTTTGTGTGGACCTGTTGCTGGCATGCCGCGGCCCGGTACTGGTCCATGGACCAGGGGTTGGGGAACCCTGATTTAGATACTTGCCTCTTTTTATCTGATGCAGGTGCATAAGTCCTTAGGTTGTGGGGTAGATACTGTGGTTATCCAAATGTGTTATGTCCAAAATACCCCTCAAATACAGTTGCTAAGTGTGACATAGAATTTAGATTGCTTTAAACTGAGTGTGACTACTACTACAGCTGTACTGGAAGCACCAAAGCACTTCTGGATTGTGAAAGGGCTGAATGGTTGCCTGGCGGATGCCCAGTTGGGGGTTCCTTTCATGTCATCATTAAGTTGTTTGGCAAAGTGGTATCCATCTGTCTACTCATAGTCACTCACTTTCAAACTGCTGGATTGGCAGGAACTGGAGCATGATGTCACCCCGTCCCACTACAGCAACCAGGTCTCAAATGCGAACCTGCCGATCGCCAGCCCAGCGTCCTAACCATATGAGCCCCTGCGCTCCTACTGAGTGTCACTAAATCTGCTGCATATTGTATGGCAATTGTACTAGCCTAAATGCCTTTGATTTGTCTTCTTTCTGACTTAGGGTATAAGAGGTGTCATTCCTTCACCTGACAATAGAACAGAAACTGATTCAGCTTCAACAGCCACAGTTCAATCTGGTCCAGAAGTGATCATTGTAGGGGCTGGCGTCCTTGGCTCTGCTCTGGCAGCGGTGCTGGCCCGGGATGGAAGGAGAGTGACGGTCATTGAGCGAGATCTGAAGGAACCTGATAGGATTGTTGGAGAACTCTTACAGCCAGGAGGTTATAACACTCTAAAAGATCTGGGCCTTCAAGGTACATTGCCTTTGCTAAACACACTTCTTTCATTCACAGACGTGGGAATAATGCTTTAACTGCAGGTTTTTGAAACTTACTCGGCAGCCTGATTGTCAGCTTTTCTATCTCTGCCTTGTATCCTTCTAATTACAGGTAGTCCTCAACTTATGACCGCAGTTAAGCCCAAAAGTTCTGTGGCTGAGACGTTTATTAAGTGAGTTTTGCCCCATTTTACAACTTTTCTTGCCACAACAGAATCCCTGCACTTGTTAAGTTAGTAATATAGTTGTTAGTAATATAGTTATTATTAAGCGAATTTGGCTTTCCCCCTTGAGTTTGCTTGTCAGAAGGTTGCAAAAGTTGACTACATGACCCTGGCACACTGCAACCGTCATAAATATGAGTCAGTTGCCAAATGTCTGAATTTTGATCACATGACCATGGGAATGCTGCAATGGTCATAAGTGTGAAAAATGGTCATAAGTCAATAATAATAATAATAATAATAATAATAATAATAATAATAATAATAATAACAACAACGACGTTGGAAGGGACCTTGGAGGTCATCGAGTCCAACCCCCTGCTCAGGCAGGCAGGAAACCCTCTACCATTTCAGACAAATGGCTGTCCAGTCTCTTCTTAAAAACTTCCAGTGTTGGAGCATTCACCGCTTCTGGAGGCAGGTTGTTCCACTGGTTAATTGTTCTAACTGTCAGGAAGTTTCTCCTTAGTTCTAGGTTGCTTCTCTCCTTGATTAGTTTCCACCTGTTGCTTCTTGTCCTGCCCTCAGGCGCTTTGGAGAATAGCTTGACTCCCTCTTCTTTGTGGCAGCCCCTGAGATATTGGAACACTGCTATCATGTCCCCCCTCGTCCTTCTCTTCGTTAAACTAGACATACCCAATTCCAGCAGCCTTTCCTTATATGCTTTAGCCTCCAGTCCCCTAATCATCTTTGTTGCTCTTCTCTGTACTCTTTCTAGAGTCTCAGCATCTTTTTTACATCGTGGTGACCAAAACTGGATGCAGTATTCCAAGTGTGGCCTTACCAAGGCACACTTTTTTCAGTGTGTTGCCACACTTTGCCATCACTAAATGAAATGTTGTAAGTCAAGGACTACCTGTATTATAAAAGACAGAAAACAAATAATACCAATACAACTTCTTCTCTGTGTTCTTTGTCCTGTGAACAAAAAACAATTGTACAGCCTACCTTGCCTTAAATTCGTGGCTCAGAATTAACATTGAAAAAAGAAAAAAAAACCATAAGATGAAAAACCAAGCTAGAGAAATCTGCTTGACAGAGGAAAGAGAAGAAACATGGTTGAGATTGTCATTGGACTTGCTTGTTGGATATTGCCCTTAATGCAGATAAGAAAAATGTGTGATTTGGAACCTGAATAGAGTGAATAGAGTTTTATTCATGGTTTTCCTGCCTCATTCGGGACCATTTACCTATAAATATTTAGATAAACATTCCCTGACATCTTTTCTATGCTGTTTCCCCATGATATTGTCTTATTCCCAGGGCACCACTGACACAGTTTAAGTGATCTTTAGCTGTACAAGTGTTAGAGGAATTTCCCAAAACTGTCCAAGAAGAACCTCAAATTTGACTTTTTCACCTATTACCCTGAAGGAAAGTTAAGTGCAATGAGTTGAAATAGGGTATGTCTAGTTTAATGAAGAGAAGGACGAGGGGGGACATGATAGCAGTGCTCCAATATCTCAGGGGCTGCCACAAAGAAGAGGGAGTCAAGCTATTTTCCAAAGCGCCTGAAGGCAGGACAAGAAACAATGGATGGAAACTAATCCAGGAGAGAAGCAACCTAGAACTAAGGAGAAACTTCCTGACAGTTAGAACAATTAACCAGTGGAACAACCTGCCTCCAGAAGCGGTGAATGCTCCAACACTGGACATTTTTAAGAAGAAACTGGACAGCCATTTGTCCAAAATGGTATAGGGTTTCCTGCCTGAGCAGGGGGTTGAACTAGATGACCTCCAAGGTCCCTTCCAACTTTATCATTATTATTATTATTATTATTATTATTATTATTATTATTATTATTATTATTATTATTATTATTATTATTATTATTATTATTATTATAGAGGCAGTAGAGAGACAATAAGGATCAGCAAAGGAAGTACCCTCATACTCAACCAGGTATAGGTAATCCTCGATTTACAATTGGTCGCTTAGTGACCATTCGAAGTTATGATCCACATTTATGACCATTTGCAGTGTCCTGCAGTCATGAGACTGCAAATTATGACTTGATTTTTAACCAAAACCTGACATTTACTTCTCGTTACGAGCAAAAAAAAAACCCTTCCCTTGCAAACAGTAGGTTTGCTTAATGGCCATGTTGTTCACTGAATGACCGCTTCGTTTGTTTAACAATGACCACAAAAAAGGTAATAAAATTGAGCATGGTTACGTGATGACCAGGGTGAGTTATGACTATAATTCCAGGCTCAATTATGGTTGTAAGTTGAGGACTATCTGTATATGCATAACAGTCTAAATTATATACATTTGCTGAACTTTGGACTTAAAACAAATACAGAGAAGAGTAATTGAAATAAAGCACAGTGTTTGGCTAAAATGTACCGAGTTGTTAAGTATATAGTAACCTAAATGCTGAAGGCTGAAGGAAACTGCAAGGAGATCAAAGCAGTCGATCCTAAACGAAATCAACCCTGACTGTCCTTTGGAAGGACAGAGACTGAGACCGAAGCTCAAATACTTTGGCTATCACATGAGAAGAGAGGACTCTTTGGAAAAGACCTTGATGTTGGGAAAGAGGGAAGGCAAAAGGAGAAGGGGACGGCAGAGGAGGAGATGATTAGAGAGTGTCATGGATGCAATGAACATGAGTTTGGGCAGACTCCAAGAGACAGTGGAGGGCAAGGGGGCTTGGCGTGCTATGTTCCGTGGGGCTGCAAAGAGTCGGACATGACTTAGCATCAGAACAACCACCACCAGCACAACATACTGAAACAAAGTTTCCTATTCTTTTCCCTGGGTTGTTCCTGGAGATAATTCCTGCTATTTGCCAGAGCTGCTATGGACACGGCAAACCCAAACTTGGGGACAATAATTCCTTTTTCTAGTTCTCTGGAAATTCCCTATTTCCCCTTTAAAAGAACGATGCTTTTTTTCTAACTAGAAGTGGAAAAAATAGAGAAAATCTCTGGTAAAGCCTATGTGAAAAAAAGCATCTGAACTTGAACTTCATTCAGACCAGAATCCAAATTGGATTCAAACTCAGTCCTGGCTGAGAGGCTGCTGTATATTGGATCCTGGTTTTATATCCTAGGGTGGGCAACTATGGCCATTTAATAATCTGTGGACTTCAACTCCCAGAATTCCTGAGCCAGCCCTGCTGGGCTCAGCAATTTAGGGAGTTGAAATCCACAGTTTGTAAAGCTGCCACAGTTGCCTGCCCCTGGGCTATCCATACCGCCACTCACTGTAGATGTGTGTTCCTCCTCCTAAATCTTCCTCCTTTCTCTATTCATTTGTTTTGTAGATGCTGTGGAAGGTATAGATGCTCATATAATAAATGGCTACATCATTCATAATCTTGAAAACAAGGCAGAGGTTGAGATTCCTTACCCTTGCACAGCAGCTGGGCAAGTACAGAACGGAAAAGCATTTCATCATGGACGTTTCATCATGGGTCTCCGAAGGGCAGCCATGTCAGAACCCAAGTAAGCATAATACTTTAAAATCACAGTATAAGTAGGTTAGGCCACGTGCGCAGTTTGCCTTCTGAAGATGCATCCATCTATTTTTCATTTTAAATGTGTTTTTCTTTTATTCATTGCATTTGTGAATCAACTCTAAATAGTTTGGAGTTAACCAGAACAAGCACTTTTAAACATCAGTTGGATTGGTTTTTATATGTTCTGTCGATTAAATTCCCGGAAGTTAATTCATAAACTTTGTTTTGCTGGTTGAGTCACCCATGTTACAAAACAGGTTATTTCCATTGAAGCCTAATTTGTAACCTGATAACCTGAAAACAAAGAATAAATTCTCTAAATTGAAAGTAAAATAAACCCTTATATCTTGTTTCGTGTAAGTAAGCTGTCAGTCCAGAAAATGGATTGGATTTGAAGAGAGAAATAGGATTCAGAGAGCTGCAGTACATTCCTGGGAAAGATTTGATTTAACATGTTTCTACAGGTGTTATGTAACTGTTCCAAACACTTTGCATCAAAGTTCTCCCTGCAAGTAGCAGTCCTAATATCTAGAAAGGTAACCTTGTTAAATGTGGTGGAAAGAAAAAGTGATTTATAGAAAAATCTTTAGAGGACAGAGGTTGACATACGTTGTCAGAGTAGGGCAGTATTTCTCAAAGTTGGCCATTTTAAAAGTTATGGATTTCAATTCCCAAATTTCCCAGCCATCTGGATAGGGAATTCTGGGAACTGAAGGCAACACATCTTAAAATTGCCAAAATTTAGAAACACGGTCTAGAAGAATGGTATGTTTTGTGCACTATAGGAGGACCTGAATGTCCAGGCTGGGGACACATCATCTTGAAGAAGGTCTATTTAGATCAGACCTGGACATTTTATGGCTTGCAGGCCACATCTGGCCTGTGGGCAGTCCGTGTGGCCTGCAGGGGCAGCAGTGGTTGAGGTGGGGCACCAGGGCAGCATTGGGAGTGGGAATTGATGCAGCATGAGAGGTGGGGCAGGGGGCGGGGCATCAGCAGCAATGGGGGCGGGCTGGAGGCAGCCCTCAACAACTGTTCCAATTTCTCATTGGCCCCATGGGAAAATTAATTGCCCCTCTCTGATTTAGGTGGTTCCTAGAACATACCAACCTGACAGCACATAGTTATTCCCTCAAATTCCTCAAATTTTTCTTAAACTATTTTCTTTCATTGTTGACCATTTTAACATCCTCTTCCTTTTGCTTTATTTTTTCCCTTCAGAAACCTGTTTTCCTTATAATAGCTGTTTTGTCTAAGATTGAATATAATTGCATGTTTTATTAATTATAGAGTACTTTGTATGAAAATGAAAATCATATATGTAGAAAAAGAGTACAGAGAGAGAATTAATGCATTTTTGTGGTTCACAGATTTCCCTGTTCCTAATACAGCAAGTTAAACAGGCCCATTTTAGTTACAACTCAATAAAATGTATACCATGTATGTATTCTTTTAATGTGTTTTTTTTTCCAGTGCAAAATTTATTGAGGGGACGGTGATACAATTGCTTGAAGAAGATGAATGTGTAGCTGGAATTGTATACAAAGATAAAGAAACTGGTGATACAAAGGTGAGATTTTCCAGCAATTCTGGTTATTCCAGTGTTCTAGGATACTGTGTCAGTTTAAAAGAAGTTGCAATTCTTAATTAGATAGCTTATTACAGTGATGGTGAACCTATGACATGCATGTCAAAGGTGACACGCCACAATGGTTTGGGTGACACGCCGGCGTGCACCAGCAGCCAACAATAACAACAATAACGGGTGGAAACTAATCAAGGAGAGAAGCAACCTAGAACTAAAGAGAAACTTCCTGATAGTTAGAACAATTAACCAGTGGAACAACCTGCCTCCAGAAGCGGTGAATGCTCCAACACTGGAAGTTTTTAAGAAGAGACTGGACAGCCATTTGTCAGAAATGGTATAGGGTTTCCTGCCTGAGCAGGGGGTTGGACTAGATGACCTCCAATGTACCTTCCAACTTTACTATTATTATTATTATATTAGTTCTGAAAGCACATCCAATTTGAGCATGATGTTTAGGAGGCCATGTGAGAATTGTGCAGCTTCTGGACTGTGCCGAAGTCCTGTGAGAGGCCTATGTGCTCAAGGAGCTTTCAGACCCTCTGAAAATTGCACATGCATGGGCTTTTGTGCAGTTTTTGGACACTGCAGAGACCGCAAAAGAGCATTCTCTGAAGCCACTTCAAGAACATAAGCCTTGTGCAATCCATTTTGAATTGCAGCCGTGGTACTAGAGCTGGTCGAGGCCTCGGACTCTACTTCGGGCAAAGGCTTGGCACTGTCGCCGAGTACCGCTGTTCAGAGCAGCCTAGAAGGGGAGAAGAGAAAGAATTGTTCTGTTTTGCTTGTGCGTTTGTATGAGACATGCCAAAAAAGTCAGATTAAACATTTTCTGAATTTTTGACAGGGTGAGCCCAAAATGTTTACCATTACTGGCTTAGTAAAATAATAGAAACATAAACCATATTTTGAAGTAGGCTATAGGGTATATAAGTTCCAATGGAATCACAATTGTTAGGGCACTGAGTGTGGATGTCAAGATGTGTGCAAAACGTAGATTGAGGAATATAAAGATTTATGAGAAAATCACGGGTGAGAGGAATTCAGTTTAGAATGAAACATTCAAAAATTATTCACTCGTGTCTGCCTCACATACTTCTTTGCATTTCAGGTTGGCCTGTTAAAACCAATAAGGTACAAGCAGTCTTCAACTTACGACCTTGCCCCCCCCCTTGCAGTCACATGATTGCATTTTGGGCATTAAGCAACTGGCCCACATTTATGGCTGTTTGCAGCATCCTGAAGTCAAACGACTATGATTTATGATGGGTTTTTTTTGGCAAAAAGCACCCATTGCGGAAAAAGGATTTGCTTAATGATTGCCATAAATGCTTAACGACTGCAGAGATATATTTAATGGCCATTGCAAAAAAAAAAAAGTCATAAAATCAGGTATGGTCACATGGTGACCCACTTGACGCCTACCATGACTTGTGACTGTAATTATGGATTCAATTTTAGTCAAAGTTGAGGACTACCTGTAACAGGTTGTGCATTGTGATGATCATCATTCTCATTTGCATATTGAAAAGGAGTGGGGTTGCATTACAAGGTTCTGCAGCCATCTTACCGATTTTGATTTTGGAGTACATTGTCAAACTTTAAATCAACACTGATAATTTAGTCCCTATATTTAGTTCATTTATTTTGTTTCGCAGGAACTCCATGCACCCTTAACGGTGGTTGCTGATGGTCTGTTTTCCAAATTTCGAAAAAATCTTATCTCCAGCAAAGTTAAAGTCTCTTCTCATTTTGTAGGATGCATTTTGAAGGTAAGTGGTTCCATAAAACATGAAGCATAGTATTAAATTTGGATGCTTGCGGTGGATTACCAAAGAATAGTATTTCAGGTGTTCTTATTTCCACCCAACCACACAAATAATTTCTAATAGCATCATAAGTTACTGTTGTTGCCCCTTCGCTTATGCGTTTTCTTTAAAGCATTTTAATCCTGCTCTTCAACCCCAGAGTTTCGCAAGCTGGCTTGCAAAGAGCCATCTTCAGGCATCAGTTGGAAGAAAACCAATTACGATGGGGAGAAAACATACAGCTCAGTGACATGACTTCAGTCTGATGATGGTTGTGGTAGAGCCTGTTGGATCTGAATGTTCAGCCTTGTTGAAAGTCTATGATCCTTGGGGTTATTTGTCAGCTGAAAAGTCCTCATTGCAGTCAAGGTATAGAGCAGGAGGGTGCTGGGAATTCTTTTTTAAATAATGTTTTTTTTTCTTTCTTCATCTATAAAGAATTCTCCTCAGTTTAAAGCCAATTACGCCGAGCTTGTTTTGGGAAATCCTAGCCCAGTGCTTATCTATCAGATTTCTTCCACTGAAACTCGAGTTCTTGTTGACATTGTGGGCGAAATGCCAAAAAATCTTAAGGAATACATGGTTGAAAAGATTTATCCACAGCTACCAGGTAAGAACCCGTGCACGGGGTCTTAAATATTTTTACAGGTAGTCTTTGACTTATGACCACAACGGGGCCAGGAACTTCCATTGTTTCTCAGAGCAGTTGAGTAAGTTGCATCTGATATTACAACCTTTTTTGCTCTGGTTGTTAAAGAAAATCTCTGTGGTCATTAAGCAAATTACGTAGTTGTCAGGTGACTCCATTGATTTTGCATGTTGGAAATCCCCTGGGAAGGTTGCCGTGGTGATCACGGCAACAGTCATAAGTGTGACAGTCACTTGTAAGTCACTTTTTCATTGCCATCGTAACTGAATGTTTGTTAAATGAATGGTCATATGTTGAGGAGTATTTGTATGTCAGTGACTTGGATAGTAATTTAGGCAGTTGTCTTAAAGCAGTGGTGGCGAACCTATGGCACTCAGAGCCCTCTCTGGGCACCCGCGCCATGCCCCGGAGATGGCAACTGTCCCTCTTCAACCAGCCATCTGCTAATTCACTGAGGTCCCATATGGCCGGATGCATGGGTGAGGCCAGCACTCATGCACCCACTGGCCTCTTTGTGCAGCGGCTGATGGTGTCAGGCAGCAGCTGCCTCGGCCCCCACCTCACCTCGCCCTGTGACAATGGCACCCCCGCCCTGCCTTGCCTTGCCTCGCCTCACCCAGCTCACCGCCCCACCTGCCAGAGACCCCCTGGATCTCCCCCAACCCTGCCCGACCCCCACAGGTGTCCCTCCCCACGAGCAACATCGAGGTGATCACGCCCACCTTGGCCACACCTACCCAATCTGCCATGACCACCACAGCCACAGCCACCCAGTGGGCCATGCCCACCTGGCACCCGGCGATAAATAAGTGGGTTTTGGGTTGCAGTTTGGGCACTCGGTCTCTAAAAGGTTCGCCATCACTGTCTTAAAGCAACCTTGGCTACCTTAAGTTTAAGATGTGTGCATCTCCTAAAACTGTGAGAAACTTTGTGTTTTAGCTGAAGCACAAAAGTTGGCGTTGGGTTATCAGGTTATCAGAGATTTTCATTCTGTTAAGTGTATTTTCTACTGAATCTTGGCCCAAGGACAAATATTTTGGAACCCACTGACCACATTTGCCTGTTTGTTTTTTTAACAGAACACATTCAAGAGCCTTTCCTAATAGCAGTACAGAATGAACGTCTGAGAGTCATGCCAGCGAGCTTTTTACCGCCTTGTCCTGTTAATAAAGGAGGTCTGTAAGCAAACCAGAGAAAGCAGAAAACTTCAGTCTTACGCAGGGGTGTCCAACCTTGGCAATTTTTAAGTCTTGTGGACTTCAACTCCCAGAATTCCCCAGCCAGCCATGCTGGGAATTCTGGGAGTTGAAGCCCACAGATCCTAAAGTTGCCAAAGTTGGACACCCCCGGTCTAATGAAAAGCTTGGGAGCATTGAAGAGATTTGTTTTTCCTCTGGCAGAACAGAATGCTTCTTTCTGGTGCCCTTTCAGCCAAGGGGCTCTTTTTAAAGACTTCTAAAAAAAAGGTGATTACGTATATTTGAATCACAAGGTCTGAAACCGGAGCCTACAGAATTATTGGCATATTTCTTTGCACCTCAATCAACCTTTTTGGCCATTGCTAATAACCTTTAGCCTTTAGAGAGCGATTCTGTTTAGAATTAAGTTGGCATCCTCTCTGTATGGACCACAGTAAATGTCGGACTATATTTATTAGTAAGCTACAAGTTGGCTTTTGTTGATTAAAGATGCTTTACACATATGGTAAAGGCAAAGGAGTCCCTGCGTATTAGTACTCCATTAGTTGTTGCCAACTAGGGGGGGGGGGCTCAATCTCCGTTTCAAGGCCATTGAGAACACTGTCTGAAGATATTTTCGTGGTGTTGTGGCCAGCAAGACATCACGGAGCAATGTTACCTTCCCACTGAAGTGGTACCTATTTATCTACTCACATTCACCTGCTTTCAAACTGCTAGGTAGGCAGGAGCTGGGGCTAGGATGTGAGCTCACTCCGTCTCGTGGAGCTCGGGTCTTGAACCTGGACTGCCAGCTTTCCAGCCAACAAGCCCAACGTCTTAACCGCTGAGCCATCACGCTGCTCCCCTTCAGATTCACAGCCATTTACATGAGTTTGATGCAAACTACCATGAATGAGAAACCTGAAACTTTGGGAGAACAGCGTTCCCAAAGTGGAAGCTGTAGCCCACTGTGAAGCTGACAGTTAAGGGGGGGGGGAGGGCTTCAGGTGGTAGAAACCTAAGGAGTTTAAGAGAAAAGTTGAACAGAAGCTGTGTAGCTTCTGTTTCTTTCCCCTACAAGAAGAACCCACTAATGGGTTAGAAGGAAAAATATTTCCCTTGAATCAAACCTGTCAGAAGTCAGAATTTTTGGGAGTCAAAATTGTCACGTCCTCATGGACGAACAGACTAAGTTGAAACTGGGAGGTACCAGGCAAGGACGGGCGTGAGAACTTTGACAACCTAGTCTGATTGGGCAGGAGGACTGAAATAACCCATTGGTGGATTCTTCATCCAGCATGCTGGAGAAGATTTGTAGTATTGGACAATGCTAAGCAATGATGTACTTCGTCATGAATGACATTGCAGTTTAATTGACATTTGGGGGTAGCAGACACCCCCGTCTCCCCATTGAGGATAAAATTGAGGCTTGCTTGTAGTTTTATCCGCCAGTCACTTAACAATTTGCCTGGATGGCTTTAAACAAGCCTTTTGAACATTTAAATCGCATCCCCAAAAGTTCATCTGTGCAGTTTTGATGTTAGGACTCTTTCCCTTTTAGGAGTCGTCCTCCTAGGAGATGCTTACAATATGAGGCACCCTTTGACAGGCGGAGGAATGAGTGTTGCTCTGAATGATATCAAGATCTGGAGATGTTTGCTACAGACCATTCCGGACCTGTATGAAGACTCTGCTCTACTGCAAGTAAGATACATATATTTTTCTTTCAGAATGAATTGATGGTCCCTACGTTTCTTTTATACAATTTCAAGTACGCCTGCTATTTTATATTTGAAATCTTTTGTTTTCATCCGATTTAATAGCAAGTGGAGCAATCTGTTGGAAATTTATTTTTTGCAGGCCAAAAAGACCTTCTACTGGACAAGAAAGAAGTCTCATTCCTTTGTTGTGAATGTTCTTGCTCAGGCGCTTTATGAATTATTTGCTGCAACGGATGGTATGTGCTTGTTCGGAAATGCACTTTCTTTCCAGTCTGGTTCTTCTCCTTCTCTTTAGCATAGTGATTTCTGCTTCGTCCTTGCTTCTCTTCCCGTTGTCTCCTTCGTTCTTGATTGTTTTCAAGTTGCCAAGGTTGAGAGATCAGGTTGATCCTGTCTAATTCCCATCTGATGCATGATATTGGCATTTTTCTCTCAGGCTCCTGCCTCCTACCCAGTCCTCTTTACAGTTAATCAAATAATTATTCACTTCCTGTACACCTACTCATTTTTATGTTGTAAGAAATCTCACTCTCTCTCTATATATATGTCTGTCTGTCTGTCTGTGTATATGTGTGTGTATGTATGTATGTGTGTATATATATACACACACATACACGCACACACACACACAAAGGTAGTCCTTGATGTATGACCAATCTAGCCCAAACGTTTATGTTGCTGAGACATTAGTTAAGTGAATTTTGCCCCATTTTATGACATTTCTTGCCACAGTTGTTAAGCGAATCATATTTATGACAGTTGTTAAGTGAATCTGATTTCCCGATTGACTTTGTCAGGTCACAAAAGGGATCACATGACTTTGGGTCATTGCAGCTGTCATAAATGTGAGCCAGTTGCCAAGTATGCCGAATTTTTATCACATGACCATGGGGATGCTGCAAAAGTTGTAACGGTGAAAAACGGTCGTAAGTTACTTTTTTCAATGCTGTTGTAACTTTGAACAGTTACTAAATGAACTGCTGTAAATCAAGGACTACCTGTATATATATAAATTTGATGAATCTTATTTTCTGGTTGATTACTTATCCTGTCCCATTTCTGGCCACAGAATACTGGACGTCTAGGCTTGGGGCTCAGAACATGGAGGATGACTGCAAAGGGCCGATCCCTGCAGCTCCTGGAGGCTCCGAGCGCGGTTTCTGGTGCTGCTCGGTTTCCCACCCCATACCCGCCAGACTGATCTGGTGGGCAGGATTGCCTTCTGCTTTCCCCATTGCATTGGCGGCTGACGCTGCCCTCCTGAGAGGCAGCACGGTGATTGGACGGCAGCCACGCTACAAATGGGGATAGACCATTCCCCAAACCTCAGCCATCCTCTCCATGGTGAGCTGATGCGAGGCGGCCGGCCAGGCACCAAAGCGCCAATGAAAATCTGTGTGCATGTCTGCCTCTCAGAGGCGTCAAAAACAGCGCTCGGAGTCTCCAGGAGCTGCAGGGATCCACTCACGCCCTTTGCAGTTGTCCTCCTGCAATGCCTCTCTCCCTGTAAGCAATCCGGCTTGCCCAGGGTCAGGTTGGCCATCACGGGAGGCTCATCCCGCATGTGCAGCGGAGCTGGAGGACAGGGATGGGCCACGCTTCCCGCGATGGCCAAGCTGACTCTGGGCAAGCCGGATTGCTTCAGCTGCGAGGAGCCTGGCCTGAGGTTTCCACTGATGAAAAAATAAGACATTCCCCGAAAATAAGCCCTAATGGGTCTTTTGGACCAAAAATAAATGTAAGACCCAGGCTTATTTTCAGGGAAACACGGTAGCACTGATGATGTTACCTAGTTAGGGTAATGAAATGTCCGCAAGAAAACAAGCAAGCTCAGAGAGCACCAAGGACCCCACAGTTCAACCGAACTACGAATATTCTCCTTTGTGTGTTAACGACTGCACACTGCAACGTCTCCCCCAAAGTTGCTGTTGCCGTGATGTCAATTCCATCCGGTAAAGATTTTGTTCCCCTACTTGGGGGGGGGGAGTGTAAGATTTTAAAGGGAATGTTCGAGGCAAATATGCGCTGTCATGCTGCAACTTTTCATTTTCTGATTTGGCCTGGCCTTTCTGCTAAGGTGATATCATGTTCCATTTGTTTTGACAGATTCTCTGCACAAGTTAAGGAGAGCCTGCTTCCTTTATTTCAAGCTTGGGGGCAAGTGTGTGTCTGGTCCAGTTGGATTACTTTCCATGTAAGTTGGGGTAGTTTTTTTTCCTACCCCTCAATGGCGGTTCAACTTGTTATTGGCAGCAATTGTAGTTAGCATAGCCCATGACTTGTCTTAGGAGCCTTTAGAGCAGTGGTTCTCAACCTTTTTAATGCCGCGACCCCAACCGGTCGTAAGTCGAGGACTAAACCGGTCGTAAGTCGAGGACTTTCCCTGCCCGGGAGCGCCATGCATGCATGGTTGCGCCCCCTGCGCCGGCCGAGGCGTAGCTGGCAAGCGGCAGAGACGGAGCAGGCCGACCACCAACTGGCCCAGCCCAAGGGAGGTAAGGCACCCGCCGGAAAAGGGGAAAAAAATGGCTGACAAAAAAAATGGCGGACAAAAAAAATGGCGGACAGCCTTGCTTGGCGACCCCCATGAAATGGTCGATCGACCCCAAATGGGGTCCCGACCCACAGGTTGAGAACCACTGCTTTAGAGAGAGACACATGGAGGGAAATGATAACAATGAGTTTTCTGGCTAGGCAATTACGGTAAACAATCCAAGTTATATACCATATTTTATTTAATCATTATTAAGAGGGTAAATAGCTGTCTTTGGCCATGTCAGAATACAGACAGTTCTCAACTTATGACCAGAATTGGGACTGCAACTTCTGTTGTGAAGTGATGCATTTGTTAAATGAGTCGTATCTGATTTTATGACCATTTTGCTGCGGTTGTTAAGCAAACCCAGCTTCCCCCATTGATTTTGCTTGTTGGAAGCCCCCTGGCGAGGTCACAAATGAGAATCTCATGTGACCCTGGGACACTGCAACCACCCCTAAGCACATGCCTGGATTTTTGGTCGCGTGACTGCAGGGTCACTGCTAGTTTAAGTGCGAGAACTGGTCATAAGGTAACTTTTCCGACACCACCGTAACTTCGAACTGTCATTAAACAAATGACTAGGTCGAGAACTACTTGTATGGAGGTTGAATGAGGTCTTTCCAATTGTTGACTACTTCAGCCTTTTACAATAGCAGCAATTAAATCTAAGATCTTCCACATATAAAATACTAACAATTGAGTGTGGCCTCTTGAAACACCTATATGACCCTGCAGCTCTTGAAAATTTGAGAATTAGCAACTTGGCTTGCTGGCTTACAATTGTAACAAACATGGAATCCTTCTCATCTTTCCTAATGCCTTCTCCTACTGGTGTCCTATGATAGAGCCCTGGTGGCGCAGTGGTTAGAATGCAACACTGCAGGCTACTTCTCCTGACTGCCGGCTGCCAGCAGTTTGGCAATTTGAGTCTCCATCCATCTGAGGTCGTAAAATGAGGACCCAGATTGTTGGGGGCCATATGCTGGCTCTGTAAACCGCTTAGAGAGGGCTGTAAAGCACTGTGAAGCGGTATGTAAGTCTCGGTGCTATTGCTAATTTTGTTGTTTGTGTTTTATTATTTCTGATTTTATCTTATGATTTATGATTTACCACTTTGTTGTTCGTATGTACACAGAGAGCTTTACGCACTGGAGACAAATTTCTTGTGTGTCCAATCACATTTGGCCAATAAAGAATATATTCTATTTTATATTCTGTTCTATAAAAGAAAATAGTAAAGCGAGAAAGAAGAACTGAGCAGGAAAAAGTAGGATTTCAGAAAATTGAAGAATGGAAATGACCAAAATGAGCTTATCGAACAGTCAGAAACTAGTAACTCGTTATACAACTCCTCTATTGAATTATCCTGTATTTTAAAGAAAGTTTATAATGGAAAAGCAGAGAAAACTGACTTAATTGTAAAAAAGTTACATGGATTCTCAGCTTTCTGTGGAAAAGTTTAAAGGGAGAAAAAAGCGATATTAGTCTGCTAAATATGTTTAGTAATTTAAATCTTGTATTTAATTAGTATTTAGTTAAACAGAATATTTAAATTATTCTATTATCAGCGGATGGCCTTTTCATAGTTTCTAGTATTTTGCTCACAAAATATATATCCCTCGTGGTTTATTTCTACCAAATCTTTCTTTACAGTTTGTCTCCAAAGCCCATTGTCCTGATCGGCCATTTCTTTGCCGTCGCCCTCTACGCCATTTACTTTTGTTTCAAATCCGAATCGTGGATCACCAAACCTCGGGCCATTTTCAGCAGCCTCGCAGTGATGTACCGAGCTTGCTCTGTCATATTCCCACTTATATATTCTGAAATGAAATACTTCATCTACTGAATACAGCGGGGCAAAGAGACGGGAAGAGGAACCGCTTGGATTTCTTTGCGTCTTCCCGATGGGCCCGCTCTCTTATTAAGTCGAAAAGACAACAGCAGCAACAAAGCTGTTGGCCTGAGATCTTGCGGTGGCGATTTGAGGTTTATAAGCACATAGATAATCTTGTCAAACAAGGGTATGTTGAAAAACAAAACAAAACACTCTAATCCAAGGGAGAGAGAAGGGAGGTCACAACAGTTACTTCTGAGAGCAAGTGTCTAGCATATTAGGGGAGGGGTCGTTGGCAGATTGCCTTTCCTTGCCCCTCTGATTTTTTGCAGCCAGGACTTACAGAAGAAATTAATGACATTTCTAGAGCCACTGGTCTGAACTATGAGTGTATGTCCAGAGATGACAGCTTAGAGACCTCCCAGACTGCGTGCATTTTCCCCCAGTCCTACAGAATTTGCTTTATTTCCTCCCTCCCTGACCAGCTGCTCTTCTTCTATTTCCTCCTACATTTTTTGGGGAAAAGAAACAGGAGTTTGTTCATCCCCCTAATAGGGACTCACCAACAACGGCAATCATAGTTATCCTGCCAGGAGGCGACAAATCTAAAATGGATGGTGTTGCTTAGGTTGGCACAGTAAACCGAGCATGGGCTACATCGTACTGGTTTAGGCCACAGATAAAACCCAGCTTATTTCAATGACCTTCCAAACCAAATAACACTTTGTAGAGAGAAACTGGAAAACGTATTCTCCCTAGCCTTGCTTTTTTTTTAAAAAAAATGTAGGATTTTATTTTATTTACAGAGGAATGCTTGTTGAGCTTCTACTGTAGCCTGAAATGATACAGCCCAGGGCATGCCCCTCAGGAAGAACTAAGCCAATACTGAGATTTATGTAATGACTGCAAGGAATTGTAGGTGCCTTCATTAGAACTGCCTTATTGTGAAAGGTTAGAACTAGGGAACCTATGGTCCTCAAGGTGTTGTACTAGAGCTTTCATAAATAAGTGATGGCTGGGGCCGATGGAACTTGGAATCACAACATCTCATTAAGGCAAGGTGGATCACTGAGGAGGAATTAGTGCAGATGGAGTAGTGATGTCTGTATGGCATTGTCCCCATTTGTTGGGTTTCTAGGAGGAGAGTCGAGCATCATGATGAACAGAAAGATTTTAGCTATTGGGTATACGGAGATAAACAGGATATGTGCCTGTGTTCACATACATAAAAACACACACATATTTGTCCATGTTGCCTTGTACAAATAAAGTTTCTAAAAGAGAATACTTGCAACAACCCTTTTCAGCTATTATAACAAAGATAGCTAAAATGGCAGTATAGGTGGTGGCACTGCTTTGTTACATTGATAAAATAAATGGAGGTCAGCTCAATCAATTTTTTAAAAACATCTGCAGCTCTTACATGTATATTTCTTCACTGATATTTTCCGGTGTTGAGCTTTTCTGTCAAGTAACATGTAAACATATATTCCATGAATATGCTGTGTTGTTGTTTAAGTTCTGGTACATATTCTAGGGATTGTCTCCATTTTCTTTTCCATTCAGTTGTAGAAGGAAGGGGAACACTCTTCTGACAGGTCCAAAAGCATTTTTTTTTGGGGGGGGGGGAAACTAAGAATCTTGTTTTGTTTTTAAATGGGTGTCAGGAGTAGGCAGCATCCAAACAAAAAATGATTCAATTCGAATAAAACAAACTAGTAGCGCTATGGTGGTCAGCCAAGTTCTTAATATATGTTTTTGTTGTTGCATTAAAGTGTGCAACTTTTAACAGGACTTTTGGGGGATGGAGTTGAACATCTATATTCTTCTTGTTATTATTATAGCCCAGAACTTATAATAAATTCTTGCTTTTCTGATCATTTTTGTCAACTCTTAATTTACATTCTCACATTCTATAAGGTTGGATTCTGTGATAGTTGCAAATTGGGTGTCCGGAAATGGATATGAGGCAGAAATTCTAACCCTACCTTGATTTTGTATAATATAAGATGGGACAGAGAGAAAGTTGGACAGACTTTCAAGAATTTGTTATTATATCTTAATATAATAATTAAAGTAGCATTACTGGAATCCTTGAAGTGTGTTTCCTGACTTAGCCTACCTTGAAAGCCTATCCAAATTTCTCATCTTATGCTAAACAGAATTGAGAAGGAGTTATTTTGAGCTTCTTTTCAATGTTGTCCAAGTTTTGAAGCTCTGTAATTATATGGAAAAGGCTACCTCAAATTGCGGACGAGAGAGACAACAAACAGCAATATGATGTATTAGCTAAATTAGAAATTTAAGTAACTAAGATAAAACAGGAGAATTAGCAAGTAAAAAATTGTTGCAATAAATATAATGCTGTCTTATGGTCCAGCCTTACCGTTAAGACATTCTTTGAATAGCATGGTCCATTACAAGCATGGCTGGTTTATTTGGCTAAGGGGTCAATGAGACTAGCAGAAGTATATGACAAGATTGCTGTGATTGCTGGCATTTAACCAGGTAACAGGAGAAAGATAGCATCACAGTCTAATATCAGATAATTCAGGAAGTCAACAAACCCCGGATCAAATATTTAGCATGCAAGCTTCATTAACTGTATATTGTATACAATTGTATATTAACATTGTATATGTTATTAACAGAGGGACCTGAATCAAGATCACATGAAGTATTTGTACTACTTTATAATGCCTTGGTTAAGACCACACTTGGAATGTTGCTTCCAGTTTTGGTCTCCACGATATAAAAAAGATGTTGAGACTGTAGAAAGAATGCAGAGAAGAACAACAAAGATGATTAGGGGACTGGAGGCTAAAACATTTAAAAACAGTTGCAGGAATTGGTATATTTAATTTAACGAAAATAAGGTCTAGGGATGACATGACAGCAATGTTCCAATGTCTAATGTACTGCCACCAAAGAAGTGGAGGTCAACCTATTTTCCAAAGCACCTGAAGGCAGGACCAGAAGCAGGGGATGGAAACTAATCAAGGAGAGAAGCAACCTACAACTAAGGAGAAATTTCCTGACAGTTAGAACAATTAATCAGTGGAACAACCTGCCTCCAGAAGTAGTGGGAGCTCCACTTTACGTTTTAAAGAAGACACTGGACAGCCATTTGTCTAAAATGGTATAGGGCAGTGATGGCGAAGCTTTTAGAGACCGAGTGCCCAGACTGCAACCCAAAACCCACTTATGTATCGTAGCTGCCGGGTGGGCATGGCCCATTGGGTGGGCGTGGCTGCGGTAGTAACGGTAGACTGGGTGGGACTAAAAAGTTCAATCAATCAATTCCAACTTTGCGAGATCTTTTTTTTCCTGCGAGAAGTTGAAATTGATTGATTGAACCTTTTTTTTTTTTTTGCACATGGTGGCGGAGGCCTAAAGTGAAAAGGTTTTATAAAACCCAGCTGAAGGCCTAGGACTGGGGTGATGGCGCGCATGCCCACAGAGAGGGCTCTGAGTGGCACCTATGGCACGCGTGCCATAGGTTCGCTATCACGGGTATAGGGTCTCCTGCTTGAGTAGAGAGTTGAACTAGAAGACATCCAAGGTCCTTCTAACTCCCATTACTCTGATTCTGATTAACATAGATAATGGTACTATGTAAATAATGCACTGATGAAAAAAGTCAACATTTACAATCCACTCGTTTCACTGTTATTGTTTTTTAGTTGTGTTACAAAAAATATAGTTCCATATTTACATGCTGCTCTCTAGGAACAGAAATGATTTTTGTAAAGGAATTGTGTATGTCATAGGTTAAGTACAAAACACGCTGCTTAAATGTAATAATCCATTGGCTTTGATACCATGATTCCAGTTATTTTTATAAGAATATTAATGTTCAGTGATTATGCAAACTCATACATTTTTAGATACTTCCCCCCCCCTCCTTATCACCTATTGAGGTTTGTTTCTTGTTTCCATTCAGAACCAGCAGTTGATATTTCACAGAACTGTCCGAAATTCATCAAAAATGAAATTAGGCACGTGGGCCTCGACCACCTAAGGAAAGAAAGGGCTTATTATTCCTGTTAAATATTTGTTTCTTTACTTTTTAAATGTTCTTATTAAAGTTAACTGTAGGGTAAAATACAAATAAAACAAAAAAAACTGAGAAAGTTAAAGAAACGTGCAGAAAGAGACAAAAAAGGAAGAAAAAAAGTACTGATTTTAAAGTTTTTTCAGTGCAGTAAAATATAAAAAAAGTTCCAACCTCCATCTTTTTATTTACATTTCCAAAAGTTTCAAACTATTTCTATATAGGAGATGTTGGCTTTCTGAAGAAAAGCGCTTAGGGATGAAGTGGGAAACTGCAACTGTACAAGAATCATTAAGGCGTAGCCATTGCTATTTTTGTTAAACCTATACTTAATTCTTTTCGTTTTGGTTAAGCTCACCATTTGCAGATCAAATTTTATTTTCAGAAAAAATGAGCCTTGTCCCAAGTTAATGGTGAACTAAGTTATTCAGAGCGTGACGTTCCAAGCCAAGCAAGCTTTGCAAAGGAAACTGCTCAATTATTCCTTTATCTTTCTCAGCTGTGGCTGCTTTTTAAAACCAGAATGATCAGAAATGATATTCCTAGGAGAAATGATCATACTGGCTGGGGAATTCTGGAAGTTGAGGTCCATGTATCTTAAAGTTGCCACGGTTGAGAAACACTGCTCTAATGCGTATCTAAGGATGACTTGAAAAATACAGGTATAAATGCTGAGTGTTTTTGTCCATTCAGTACATTGGACTCATTCTCAAAAAAAAAACCCTTGTTACTTACCCTTCTTGGTAATTTTGTGTAACGAACATAATCTTCTAAAAAAAGCAGGGCGCCCACAACATCTGCTGGCATTTCTGGGACCTTCTGGCTGTGAATTAAGCACAAAACCACAACATGAGATGGTTTAATCACCTCTTATTCTAAGAGGGATTAAACCTGGTAAGTATTTGACTGAGAGACAATTCCCAGCCTTTAAGCTAGACAGGAATTAAAAGAAGAGCTGGTGCAACAAGCTCTGTCAAGGACAGGATTTAAACACTGTCAGTATGTGGTTTGACTGATTTTGGCTTAGCACGTCTTGTGAACTCATGCTGCCTGTGATTTGCTAACTAAAACTGTGCCTTGAGAATATGTGAACTTAGCCACTAACAAAAATTCAACGTTACGGGGTGGATTGCTGGTGTACAATTCTGTGCTTCTTTGGCCCGTCACATTTCAAATAGGTGAGTGGGAAACAGGTTTAGAAAAGGGACAAGGGAGCCACCAGTGATCAAACTTTTAATTTTATTGAGGGTGGGGAAACTATGGCCCTCTGAATATTGGTAAGCTACAACTTTCAGAATCTCTAATCATTCGCCAACCTGCATGGTTGCAAGCTGTAACTCAGCAACATCCAAAGGCCAGATGTTCTCCACCCTCTACTGAGCAACTCAAGTCTTCTTAACCATGGAGGGTAACTCTCAGCTCAGAAATTCAAATTAAAGCTTCTTGGACAATGGCTAGCCAGCTGCGATTTGAAGGGGAATCCAATCCTAACACCTTTGATTCAGCTTTGTGAAGGAGAAGTTGATACCTGGTGCACTGTTCCATTGTGGAGCGAACAAACTGACCGATCAGACCCAGAAATTGTTCAGTGTAGCGAGAATGAAACTGCTTCAGCAAAGTCAGGAGCCCCAGTACCAGAGGTGGCCAGTCAATGGGATCAGCTGGCTTTCGACAAACCATCCCTGAAGGAAAACAAAAACCAACCTAATACATTTTCTCATAGTTTGGGGGTTGCAACGTAAGGCACAGCTGGTGGCAGCAATTCAGAATACTATGGAAAATTCGTGTTACATGATGGTCTCTATGGCTTGGGAATACGTGGCGAAATGGATTCCCTCTGTAGTATTTACCTTGGATTATAGTCCATTCATTACTCAAGGACAACCATCCCCCAAAATGAACTTAAAGAGAATTTGTACATGAAAGGGTTCTTCTTTCCAGTTGTATCCAATTCTAGGGGGTGGTGCCCATCTCCATTTCTTAGTAGAGGAAGCCAATTACATACACACACACTATATGTACATATATTTATAGATATACACATACCTATACTGATGGGCAAAAGAATATATCCATATAAATATAAAACTATGTGTGTGTGTGTGTGTGTGTGTGTATGCAGGTCTTGGTGTATTCGGGTCTTTTCCCGTGTAAGATTGAGAGTATCTTGGCGACGTTTCGACGAGGTCCCACTCGTCATCTTCAGGCTGGGGTCTTCGGCTTCGTGCTTGTGCGAGCAAAGTGTGATCAGAGCTGCCGTCTCTCTATAAATATTGGTGGGGGTATGTGGAGTGCTGGCTTAGTTGCTGTAGGTGGGTTGGTTGGCTGTGTGGGAGTTATTGTTTGCGGATTGTTTGGCTGTTTCATAACATCCTGAATAGTTGAGGTGCTGGCTGTGTGCCCATTAGTCTTTTGTGTTATAACGACCTGGGTAATGGGTTGTGTGATTACATCCTGAGATCTAGTGTAGTGATATCCTGAGTTTTGTGTTGCAACATCCTGGATGGTTGGCTGTGTTGTAACATCCTGAGCTTTAGCGTTGTAACCTTCTAAATTCTGTGATGTGATGTCCAGAGCATCACAGAACTCAGGAGGTTACAACGCTAAAGCTCAGGATGTTACAACACAGCCAACCACCCAGGATGTTGCAACACAAAACTCAGGATATCACTACACTAGATCTCAGGATGTAATCACACAACCCATTACCCAGGTCATTATAACACAAAAGACTAATGGGCACACAGCCAGCACCTCAACTACTCAGGATGTTACGAAACAGCCAAACAATCCGCAAACAATAACTCCCACACAGCCAACCAACCCACCTAGAGCAACTAAGCCAGCACTCCACACACACACACCAATATTATAGAGAGACGGCAGCTCTGATCACACTTTGCTCGCACAAGCACGAAGCCGAAGACCCCAGCCTGAAGATGACGAGTGGGACCTCGTCGAAACGTCGCCAAGATACTCTCAATCTTACACGGGAAAAGACCCGAATACGCCAAGACCTGCATACTAGTATAGCTATTTCAGGCTCATTAGCCCTCATCAGCTAGTCATACCCTTCAGGGATTTGAACCTGGGCAGCTTGCATGTTAGGCAGCTGTATTTGAATTTATAGTGTTCACAGTATGTGACATTTGCCTGCAAAACATGCTCCTAGATTGGAGCGAAACACAGAACAGACTGATTTATATTTGGTAGACTGGGTGTCTCACCCAACAGATAAGATATATATATATGTGTGTGTGTGTGTGTATATATATATAAATAAATGTATATATAAAATGTATACATATATGTATACATACATATGCATATACATATATACATACACAGGAATTCACCAGAACTCCTAAGAATTATAGCACAAATTTAAAGCAATTAAATCCTGTGCAATTCTATCTGCAAGGAAATTTGAATGCTGGTAATTTTGATAAAGTGAAAATACTTTTCCAATCACCTATGCTTAAAGTGAAAGGATATAGAAAAATTAATACTATACCTAAGTTTTTACTGTATTGAAGTTTTGGCAACTGGGAAATCAGAAACAGAAAATTCACAATGGGGAAATACGGCAATCGTTTTGTCGTAATGTAGATCTGGGAAAGAACATTTTGAAGGAAAGAATGTATTAATTTTTTTTTTTAAAAAAATCCAGATTATTTTATAATTACCATTTCAGACAGCAAAGCAATGAAATTCTTATAGTTTTTTTTTAAAAAAAAACCACGCAAAAGAACTGAAGAAAAAGAGATTATGCTATGCTAAATCAATGCAAAGAAAGACCAGAGGGAGGAAAAATAATCTATTGAACAAAAGAAAACAATGGGCTCGTTCGATAGTTGAGAAACTAGACAGACCATCAAGCTGAGAATCAGAGAACGTTTTCTGAAGATGCTGTTGAATTAAGATACCATCACTAAAGAAGCCCTTTCTACCCACAACTTCTGAATGTTTGACGGGGCTTTTGAAATAAAAGCTTGAAATGATGACGAATACATTATCTATTTCTGTTTGCATTGGTGGCCCACGGTGTCTATACTGTCCAGAGTTGTTGCAGGGTTCGGTGTTAAATTTAAACCCACCAAGAAATGATTTTTCCGCATTTGCCCCCTTCTCCCCCCCTTCCAATCTGAGCTCTGCTGCCTCTTTTCCTGCCGGATTCACGGTTTTTCCACAGTTAAAAACAGAACTGAGACCTCTTAGTAAAGATGGTGTCGCATAGGTTAGAGCAGGGGTTCTCAACCTTGGCAACTTTAAGACTTGTGGACTTCAACTCACATTGAATTCTGGGAGTTGAAGTCCACAAGTCTTAAAGTTGCCAAGGTTGAGAACCCCTGGGTTAGAGGGCCATGCTGATTAAACATGCCAGTGATTGGTGCAACAGATTGGGATGGCCCCAAGGGCTGGGAGAGCTTAATTAGGAAAAGGGTCTCACCTTATTCAGTGGATTATGGATGCCAGCAGCCTCCAGGTAAGCGGTAATTTCATACAGGAGGGTGTTATCTTCTTTGGGGCAAGGCAAAGAAGGGTCCTGATAGTGGGCCTCTATATCAGCCAGGATTGCTCTATAAGGGCAAAAGAACACCAGAGCAGCTTTACTGAATCTGGCCAAAGGCCAACCTATTTCTGTGCTCTACATCCTGCAGTAGTTAGAATGGATTTGAGAAGCTCAAACATTGAGTGGGTAGAAATCTCACCACCCAATTGCTCCCACTCTATCCTTCCACAAGAGCCTGAAGTTGTGAGTGCTCCATCACTGGAGGTTTTTAAGAAGAAATTGGACAACTATTTGTCTGAAATGTTACAGGGCGTCCTGCTTGAGCAGGGGGTTGGACTAGAAGACCTCCAAGGTTCTGTTCTGTTCTGTTCTGTTCTGTTCTATTCTATTCTATTCTATTCATCAAGCAAAAAAACATCATATGTAGAAGAAATGATTAATAGTCTTTTCAAAGCCAAGGAAAGAAGAAAGATAAGACTGGAAGTTCATAACATTTGGAGATTCTTCCATTATCTGGTGAAGGGTTAGTTATGTCTTTCCTTCATCAAAGTGGTTACCAAGGGAACGGAGAAAGCTCTACTCAAGTGAACTCAATGATGGGGGAGCGAGTTTCTTAGAAGTGGAAGACTTATCAAAAAGTCTGTAGCAGTTTCCCTTTCAATAAAAGGATAAAATACCCTCTGTCAGAATCTTGCTATTGAGTTGTCATCAGATACCAAACATTTAACAGATAGTACAGAATGCCCGTAAGGACTAGATGGGGAACTTCCATGCTGGAGGTGGCTGCTAGATTAATAGCAGACTCCACCTCCCCCCGCCCCTTTGCTCTCTACCCATCCATCTGTTTGGTTATCATATTAATGTATTATTCTCACTGTGTTCCTTCATCGTTGTTTATTTTATTGTTCTATTATTTTACTTGTTCCGTTTATACACTTTTTCATTTCTCGTCATTTCACTATCGGAAGCCGCCTAGAGTAGCCCCACAGTAAGAGAGGAAATAAAGTTAACAAACAGATAAATAAATTCTCCTTTCTATTTTTTCCCCCAGCAGCTGGCATTTAAGGATTTGTAGCTTGTAATTCTGGAGCTCAGAAAGGGTCAATGAGATTAGCCGCCCTTCTCACTTGATCCCTCACAAACGGGCCTAATTTCTTTCAAAACTGAACTGATGGCCATGGTTACAAATTAAGCACCAAATAAAGAATTTATGAGCGAACATAAATCTGGAGCAGATTTCAGGAGGATTCCAAACATTGGACTGATAATTGCTTCCTGCTACCAAGATCCACGAATGACTAGAGACTAATTTCCCGTTCTTTGTGGTGCAACCTATTTTTTTGAACCCATGGCTCTACCCAAATTTGCTTTGCATTCTGAGCTGAGAGGAACATCTCAAAGTGTAGATGCTCCCTTTTGATGCACATGGATTTGAAAAGTTATTATTATTTATGTTGTCGTCCCAGAATATGAGAAGCTATTATCTTTGTTGCCATCCCAGTGATACAAGCTGGTCCTCAAGAAGCTTGCAGTCTTACTTGTTAAGGTTCTCCAGGGCAGCTGCTAAATGCTTGGAGTCGAATCTGCAGGAATAGTTCAGTTCATTGCCTATTTGGCGTCTTAAAATTTGCATCTGGCCAACCTAGGGAAGAGATGATGAGAATTAAAAGATCTCCCAAAATGAAAACGAATGAATAGTACAATTTATTGCCTAAAACATCCTGGGTTTTTTTTTTTAATGGACACTGAGGATTACCAATTAAAAGTTACTATTATAGCCCTAATGAAGGTTTTCCCAAGACATCCTAGATCAGTGGTGGCGAACCTATGGCACAGGTGCCAGAGGCGGCATTCGGAGCCCTCTCTGTGGGCACACGTGCCGTTGCCCCAGCCTTGCCTCCCCCCGCGACCCTCTCCAGCAGCCCCCCAAAGGAGAGTTGCCCCCGAGCGTGGCCCACACGGAGCAACGCAGCCAGGCAGCGTAGACAAGACTGTCCTCACGCCCCATCATGCAGTTGATGCTGCAGGGCGCGGGCAGAGGGTGTGGCTGCCATAGGGCTGCTGGGCTGCCTGGGCGATCTGCGGTGGGCCCTGGAGGCAGTGAGTGGTCCTGTGGGCAGGTGGGGCGGGGGATGGGGGCAGAGCGGGGGCAGGCAGGGGGGGTGGAGCGAGGGCGGGGCCAGTGTTTGGGCACTCGGTCTCTAAAAGGTTCGCCATCACTGTCCTAGATGTATTGATCCTACAACTTCCAGAATCCCATTTATCTGAAAAAGTGCAGTGTAGGAGGGAGCACCCTAATGCTCTACGTTACGATTCAGAAGACTTGACTGATTTCTAAGAGGATTGCTCCCAAGAAAATAGGAACCTTATCTACTTAAGGAGAGTGTTTGATTCTGACATTAATGAAGCATCAGCTAACTTAGCTGCTTCTTATAGCAATCAAAACTTCATGTTTTACCCTCCTGTTAAAGAACAACATGGCTGTTGCATTTTATTTATGTACATATGCATGTCTTTCCAATTTCTGATCTAGCCAAAAGCCTGGGATTTTCTGATAACCTCCCATCCAAGATTTAACCAGGTCCAACTCTGTTTAGCTTTTTCAACATCACGGACTGTGAGGACATCCACGTTTTCAGAGACTTTTAGAACATCCTCAAGGGGAGACCCATGTGGATTCTGCTGTAAGGTGCAGCTCCCAAACTTCTCTCAGCTAGAGGGTCATCCAGAGGTTCCCTATCCCATGACTGATATAGCCAAAGTACCTTCATAATTGTGTCAAGGTAGGCAGCCCAGATCCTCTGTGTTTTGGTAATTGCTGTAGAATAGACTCTATTACAATTAGCTGCAACAGAACATTGAGAGAAAAACAAGTTTTAGAAGTGCCTTCCCATTCCTCCTTCTATGATTATTATTCTGTTTCCTCCACCCCATTAAAAAATACTCTGAAGACAGTATTTCTCAACCTTGGAAAGTGTTCAGTTGCATGGACTTCAACTTCCAGAATTCTCCAGTCAGTATTCCAACACAGCCATTGTAAGAGCCATCCATCATTGCCAGACCCCCAGGCACGGTGCAGAACCATGTCTTTGGGGCCTTCCTAAAGGCTGGGAGGGTGGGGACCAGTCTAGGTTTCAGGAGTTTGGGGGAAATGATATTCCACAAGGTAGGTGCCATAGCAGAAAAGACTCTCTTTCTGGGTCTCGCCAGATGACACTCTTTCATAGATGGGACCCATAACATGCCTTTTCTACTGGTCACTAACAGGTAATCCTCAATTGATGATCATTCATTTAATGATAGTTACAATGGCCTTGGAAAAAGTGGCTTATGATCTGTCCTCGATGTTATGATGGTCACACCACCCTTGGGGTCACATGATCGCAATTTAGGCCCTTGGCAACTGGCTTGCTTTTACAATGGTCCCGGGATCACCATTTGCCATCAGGTTCAGTCCTGTGATGACTCGTATAATTACTGCATTGCTTAGCAACCAAAATTCTGATCCCAATGGTGGCCATAAGTCCAGGACTGCTTGTTATTACGTAGGGACAGAAAGAGAGAGAAGGTGATAACTGGCAAGGAGGTAGATTATTCCCAGGGCTTTCATTTTCCAAATTTCATTTTATTTATTTTTAGGGTTCCTAAAAGCCAAGATCATGGCATCCGGCCCTCTCAATTCCTGGCAAATAGATGGGGAAGAAATGGAGGTAGTGACAGATTTTATCTTCCTGGGCTCCAAGATCACCGCAGATGGGGACTGCAGTCAAGAAATTAAAAGACGCTTGCTCCTGCGGAGGAAAGCTATGACAAATCTAGACAGCATACTAAAAAGCAGAGACATCACCCTGCCAACAAAAGTGCCTATAGTCAAGGCCATGGTTTTCCCAGTTGCAATGTATGGATGTGAAAGGTGGACCATAAGAAAGGCTGAGCGCCAAAGAATTGAGGCCTTTGAACTATGGTGCTGGAGAAGACTCCTGCGAGTCCCCTGGACTGCAAGATGATCAATCCAGTCAGTCCTAGAGGAGATCAACCCTGACTTCTCTTTAGAAGACCAGATCCTGAAGTTGAAACTCAAGTATTTTGGCCACCTAATGAGAAGGAAGGACTCACTGGAGAAGGGCCTAATGCTGGGAAAGATTGAGGGCAATAGAAGAAGGGGACAACAGAGAATGAGGTGGCTGGATGGAGTCACTGAAGCAGTAGGCGTGAGCTTAAATGGACTCCAGAAGATGGTAGAGGACAGGAAGGCCTGGAGGAACGTTGTCCATGGGATCGCGATGGGTCGGTCACGACTTTGAAACTAACAACAACAACAACAACAACAAAAGCCATTCAATTCCTTGCCATTTTCTAGCCCAGGACCCTGCTTTAAGGATCTTACCCACAAGTCCTTTCAAAGGGCTGACACTCTTCATGAGAGACTTCAACGCTTCGTGGACCCCTTTATCATGCAGCACTGTTTTCTGAAACATGATGAGGAAATTCTGGAGAGAAAAGAAAAAAGATTCTTTGGGATATTCTGCAGAAAAAGTCCATTGCGGTTGCACATACTGTGTTTTGTATGGCATGGATAACCCAGAATGGAACCCAAGACCTTGTTTTCAACTATGGAAATATTACAATGTGTGGACTTCAAAAGAATGCTGGCCAGGGAACTCTGGGAGTTGAATTCCACAGATCTTAAAATTGCCAAGGCTGAAAAAATGCTGGTTTTAGTGTGTTCTGTGACCAGGTCCAAAGTTGCCGGCTCTGGAGAAAGAAAATTGAGAATGATGAAAATTGGAATGGCTTGCCTCCAGAAGTTGTGAGTGCTCCAACACTGGAGGTTGTTAAGAGGAATTTGGACAACCGTATGTCTGAAATGGTACAGGGGTTTCCTGCCTGAGCAGGTTGGACTAGAAGACCTCCAAGGTCCCTTCCAACTCTGTTATTCTTCTATTTGTTATTCTATCTTGTTTTCTAAGTTGCCTTGAGCTCCTGAGAGAAAAGCAGGACATAAATAAGTCCCAATTTATCCCACTATTAGCTAAGCTGGTTAGGAATGTGGGGATTGTAGTCCGTCATATCTGGAAGTGTCAGTCCTTTGAGGTAGTCCAGATAAGAAGCACAAACCATAAGTACTAAAATTATCTTTTATCATAAGGTTACAGTAACAGAATCTTGCAGGGCTGAAAATCTTTCTTCCCTCTTTTATTTTTATTTTCCAAAAAACTAGGCAGAGTCCTTTCTGAGACATCTCCCACGTACTTTTCCTTCCTTCTTTTCTTTCTATCTACCTTTTGTGTGACAGTTGTCTAGGTTGCAGCCCATCTCCATCTTTAAGGTTACAGGTAATCCTCACTCAACAAAGGTAATTGGGACCTGAATTTCCGACTCTAAGTGATATAAACATAAAGCACAATGTCAAGTGACTGTGCTGCTTAGAGATGGCAGTTGCTGGTTATCGCTGATGGACATTAAGCAAGTTCGTATGACTTCATGCCAGCTTCCTCGGTGACTTTGCTTTGTGGGAAGCTGGCAGGGAAGTTGCAAACACTATCATGTGACTATGATTGTCAGAAATAAGGACCAACAAGTGCTCAGATTGTGATCATGTGACTGCAGGGGTGCTGCCATGGCCGTAAGTATGAGCACCCGTCAATGCCATTGTACGTTTGAATGGACACTGAATGAATGGTTAACTGGGGACCACTTGTATTTTCACAACTGATTATAGGAGGCTAATGGAGAGAAAAATGGTACACATTTCTTAGTCCAGGTGGACTTGTTTTGTGATAGTCTGGCTGAACTGGAGCTGGGTTGGGGCCTGGTTACCTGCAACTCTTTGACAATCATGAAGCAGAGAAGACGGTCTAATCCGTTGAGACCAAAGGTTCCCAAAGTGTTCTGGATCTCGGCAAACAAGCGACTGTTGGAGACTTCCTGGTGAGTTTTCATATCATACCAGGTGTTAAGCTGATCAATATAGCAGGCAGACCTGTCAAAAGGTAAGTAGCCATCACTGAAGGAAGGATCTTATCTGTGAGCAAGCTGGCAAGGGTGAACAACCTTTAAGCAATCAGATATTGAGTAAAGTTGGCCAAACAAGAAACAGGAAGATCTGCAATAATAAAATTTAGATCCATTAAATTATGCAATTTTCCATACTGAGAGTCAGAGTCAGTTCTGGGCTAAAGCTTCTGCAGGTTTGGAATGAGATATAGTTACGAGTTTTTGACTAGTTCAGGCAGAAGGGGGAGGGGGAGGGGAAGAAAGGAGGAGGAGGAAGGGGGAGGGAAAGGAAAAGGAGAAAAAAGAGTGGGGGGAGGAGGAGAAAAAGGAGGGGGAAGAAGAGCAGGGAGAGGGAGATAGGGAGAAGGAAGAGGAGGAGGAAGGAGAAGGAAGGAAAGGAAAAAAGGAGGGGGGAGAAACAGAGGGAGAAGAAGGAGAGGAAGACTTTTTCCTCTTAAGATACAGACTCTGTAAGACAGACATGTCAAACACAAGGCCCGGGGGCCGGATGCGTGGTTTCATGTGGCCCGCAAAGCCATCCTGGAAACAGTGAGGGAATGGCCCCCACTGCCTTGGCCCTGGCCCAGGCCGGCCGGGAGCCAATGTACAATTTTGTGGTGGCCATCTATGCTGAAACGCATTCAGTCTTAGCTCCACAAGGCCGTCTGGAAACAGCGAGGAACCAGCCCCTGCCGTGTCGGCCCCGCCCCCTGGGTGCATGCTGGGGAGGTGTCACCCTTTGTGAGGAATGAAGAAATGCACCATCGCCTGGAAGTGGCCAGCAAATGGCCCTTGCCTACTTCACATATCCGGCTTCATGGGCTCCGGCAGAGGGGTTTTAGCAGGCAGTGAGACTCCTCCAGTGGACCATGCCTTGGCACTTGCCCTGGTCCCACCCCCTTCTGCCAGAGACCCTCAGATCTGTCCCACTCCTGCCCAGGCCCCCACAGCACCCTTGACGCAAACGATGTAGAGCTGGCCACACCCACCCAGCAGGCCACACCCATTCCATCCACGCCCACCCAGTAGGCCACCCCCACCCCCCGAGGGCAACCTCAATGAAATTGAGTTTGACACCCCTGCTGTAAGAGATGAAGGGGTAGGAGTTTTATGAAACTTTTGTCTGGTTTAGTCTGCTGATCCTATGTGGAGATGTCAGGAAATAGCCCATTTTCTACGGGAATCTGCAAATTATGTAGTCTGCTTACTTTGGGTCAGTGATTCTCAGAATTTCTCTGCAGAGGCGACCAATAAAAGTAACAGATTCGTCTGTAGGTGCAAATTTGGGTATTGGAATATGGGTGGATTGGTAGATGCTTTGCCAGTCTTGAATCTGAAAGACATGCACAGTGAAATCATTCTGAGCTATCTCTGACTATACGTAATTGCAGGTCCCCCCCCCCCAAAAAAATATCAGGCTGTTTTTCAAGACTACAGTATCCTAGTGGTGAACTGCTGTAAGGAAAACAGCCTAATTTTAAATACTGGAAAAACCAAAGAGATCATTGTCGATTTCAGAAAAGGCAGGCACGGCCACACTTCTCTGTGCATCAATGATTCACCTGTAGAGATGGTTACCAGCATCAAATTCCTGGGTGTGCAGTTAACAAGTAGGTTGGCTTGGTCACTCAACAGCGAGACACTGGTGAAGCGGGCACAGCAGCGCCTGCATTTTCTGCATCGCATGAGAAAAGCACATCTTCCTTCCCCTGTCCTGACCACTTTCTACAGAAGGACGATCGAGAGCATCCTGTCATACTGCATCACAGTCTGGTTTAGAAGCATCACTGCTTCAGACAGGAAGGCGGTGCAGAGAGTGGTGAGGACGGCTGAAAAGATCATTGGCAGCTCCCTCCCTCCCATCCAGGACATAGCACATAAGCGTTGCTTGAGCAGGGTCCGTAAGATTATCTGGGACACTAACATCCTCTTCACAACCTGTTTTCCTTGTTACCTTCTGGGAGGAGGCTTCGTGGTATCCGAAGCAGAACATCCAGATTCAGTCACAGTTTTCTTCCATACAGTATTAACCTTGTGAACTCTAAAGCTTCCTCCTTCCGTTATATATTCAAGATGGATAGTGATTAATATTTATATGATACTTATATGTAAGGGTGTAGGTCTATACATATGTTGTATATAGTACGTTTAAATGTGTGTTATGTATGTGTAGACTTTGAGAGCAAGCAACTAAATTTCGTTTTTAATGTGTGACATTGTGCTCGCAGTAAAAAAATGACAGTAACTGTTATCTATCTAGTGTTATCTATGAGTAGTGTTGGTTTCAGGGCTCTTGATGGCTGCTCTCAGTCTGTCCACAGCATCTACCAGTACTCCTTGACTTATGACTGATCACTCAGTGACTGTTTGAAGTTTTGACAGACACCACCCCAGGCACTTACAACCTGGTTTCAAAGTTTTGTTCTCTCCCCCCCCCCACATAGCCATGTGTGCCATTTTTGACACATTTGCTAGAAACCAGCATTTATTTCCAAATTTAGGCAAAAATACCCCATAGCAAACAATGGTGGCCGTGGCGAGTTGTCCCATTCCGAACAATGGATTTGCTTAACAACAGTGGCGTTCACTTAATGATTGCAGTGGCCGCCTTACAACCGTTGCGTTTGCATTTGGACTGTGTAACTTTAAAACATAACGTTGGAAGAAGTGAGTGAAACAAGTCTAGTGCAATAAATCCTGGGGCTGGATTAACCCACCGTGCTAAACTTTAGCTTACTCAATCATGATCTGCTGACTAAACTACATTCGGCTGGCTTCACACAACACACTAAAGCGGACTAAATAAGGAAACAATGTCTTAGTGAAATGTGTGAATTCAGTCCTGAGAACTTCTTGTGGCAGAACGGTTTTACTCTCTCCTTCTGTCCAGTTTTCTGTGAAGAGGTTTGGGGAGATCCTTACAGCCAGCAGAGTATTTCCTCAAGTCATTTTTGGAGTCGAAATGGAGGAGGAATTCAGAGGAGGACACCAGGGCTCTGAATAAGCAGCATTAAGAATAAGATAGTAACTCACTAACCCCATTGTGGGCTCCTTGGTGCTCTCTGAGCTTGATTGCATTCTTGCAGATGCTTCATTCCTCATTACCAACTAGGTAACATTATCAGTAGTAGAAGGGAGTGGGGTTTATTCTCTGCAAGCTACGTATATAAACAGAGAGCAACCCTTTTCCTTCTAGCACTGATGATGCTACCTAGTTGGGTAATGAAGTGTCTGCAAGAAAACAACCAAGCTCAGACAGCATCAAGGACCCTGTAGTTCAGTGGTTCTCAACCTGTGGGTCGGGACCCCATTTGGGGTCGATCGACCATTTCATGGGGGTCGCCAAGCAAGGCTGTCCGCCATTTTTTGGCCGCCATTTTTTTTGTCCGCCATTTTTCCCCCCTTTTCCGGCGGGTGCCTTACCTCCCTTGGGCTGGGCCAGCTGGTGGTCGGCCTGCTCCGTCTCTGCCGCCTGCCAGCTACGCCTCGGCCGGCGCAGGGGGCGGAACCATGCATGCGCACGCTCCCGAGCAGGGAAAGTCCTCGACTTACGACCGGTTTAGTCCTTGACTTACGACCAGTTGGGGTCGCGGCATTAAAAAGGTTGAGAACCACTGCTGTAGTTGAACCCTGAGCTACAAATATTCTTTTCCGTTGACATCCATACATTCTGCAGCCTTTTTAATAAGGCTGTTGAATACCTTTGTCCTTAAGAAGTTGTTGCATTCCTGCTCCACGTTGTAATTAATAATACGGGATACTTCTTCCTGCCAGATTTTTAATCCACAGATGTTGACATAGTCCTGGATGTACTCAAAGGAACGGTGGAACCCATCCATGGTGGCTGCCATATCTTTCAGTCTGGGCATCAGCTCACTGAGCTGTGGAAATAAGGAAAATCAAAAGGCCCATTCACCATCTTTGCCTTTCTAAAATTTGTTATTTCTCCATTCAGGGATGTCTACAGAAGGGCAGGTTTAGGAAACCCACGACGGCAGATGCTAAGAAAGGACTGTGGGTTTGGACTGCAAAGTCACAGCTGCCATTTTGATCACTTTAACCCAGGGGTCTTCAAACTTGGCCCTTTTATGACTTGTGGACTTCAACTCCCAGAATTCCTCAGCCAGGCATGCCTGGCTGAGGAATTCTGGGAGTTGAAGTCCACAAGTCATAAAAGGGCCAAGTTTGAAGACCCTTGCTTTAACCTCTTTGTGCACATCCCAATACAGATAGTCCTCAACTTACAACCATTCATTTAGCGGCTCTTCGAAGTTACAATGGCACTGAAGAAAGTTACTTACAAACAGTTTCCACACTTACCACTGTTGTAGCATCCCCACAGCCACGTTATCAAAATTTAAGTACTTGGGCAGTCTGCATGTATTTACCACGGTTGCAGTGTCCCAGGATCACGTGATCACCATTCGCAACCTTCCCAGCTGGCTTCCGACCAGCAGAGTCAATGTGGAAAGCCAAATTCGTTCGACAAATGCATGATTCACTTAACAACTGCAGTGATT